TGTACTGTAGTACTGTTTTTACGAAGTTGGGTGCAGCAGAGTTTGGTGAATATATGTTCATGATTGTAATATATTCCTGGTTTATTGTTCCTTTGATCAGAATGAAGTGGCCCTCTTTGTCACTTCTGATTAGCTTTAGTGTAAAGTCTATTTTATGACTTATTAGAATTGCAACGCTTGCTTTTTCCTTAGTACCATTCGCTTGGTATATTTTTTTCCATCCTTTCACCTTAAGATAGTGCCTGTCCTTGAAAATGAGATCAGTTTCTTGCAGACAACAAAAAGATGGGTTTTGTTTCTTAATGCATTTACCTAGTCTGTGTCTTTTGATTGTGGAGTTCAGTCCGTTGGTATTTAAAGTTATTAATGAAAGATGTGTAATGAATGCTGTCAGTTTTATTTCTGTTTACATTCTTGATATAGGTGTACTTTTCCGCAGTTACACCTTCATTGAATATTTTTCCGCAACCCCTTGGGTATAGTCATTACTTTCTTCAGCTCTTTGTATTGTTTCCAGAACTTTATGAAGGGCTGATTTTTGTGGACAGGAATTCCTTCAGCCTATTTATGTCATGGAAGATTTTTCTTTCTCCTTTGAGTATAATACACATGTTGGCTGGGTATAGTAATCTGGGTTGGCATCTGTGGTCATTTAAAACTGGGAATACTTTGGTACAGGCTCTTCTGACTTTCATAGTTTGCACTGAAGAGTCAGCTGTGATCCTAATGGTTCTCCTGTATATGTGACTTGTTTCTCTTTTGCAGTTTTCAGTATTGTCTCTTTGTTCTGTATGTTTAGTGTTTTTACTATGATGTGCCGTGGAGAGTTTCTTTTCTGGTCCTTTCTGTTTGGTATTTTATATGCTTATATTTGTATGGGCATGTCTTTCTTTAATTTTGGGAAAATTTCTTTCACGATTCTGTTGAGGATCTGGTCCATGCCATCATTATCTTGGGATTCTTCTCCTTCCTGTACGCCTATGATTCATAAGTTTGGTCTTTTTATGGTGTCACACAATTCCTGCGTATTCCATTCTCGTGATTTCTTAAATTTTTCATAATCTTTGCTTGAGTGGTCTAGTTTGTCCAATTTTTCTTCCAGTCTTTATGTTCTGTTTTCCATTTCATTCATCCTATTGGTGAGGCTTTCTCTTGTCATTTCTAACTGACTTACTGGTGTTTCACTTCCTTCTTCATTTTAGCCTGAGTAATCTTCAATATTTCTAGCTCTTTTCTGAATTCATTCAGAGGTTTATCCCTATCTTCCTTAAGTTTGATTTGAGTATTTAAATTTACTGAATTCTTTTATCATGTTTATAATTGTTCTTTTGAGTTCCATGTCCTGCATATATCTCTAAGGGGTTCTCATTTTACTCCTCTAGAGGACTATTGGTATTTGGTGGGGATATGTTATTTTAGTTTTTCATGTTGTTATTTTTTGTCTATGATTTTGATATGTGAATTTCTTTCGTAGTTTCTGATTGTTGTGTGAGACTCAAGCCTTCAAGTTTAGGTGTTGTTCTTCTTTTTGTAAACTTTATGTTCCTTTGTGGTTTACTTTTTGGGCATGAAAAGCTGGTTCGTCTAAGCTTCCGGTTCTTTCTCTTGATTTTATATTGGAGTGGCCAGATTGCTTTTGTCTTCAGGAGTTCCCACAGAGGCCCAAGTCATATGAGGATCATTTGCTTTCAGGCTTTCTCCCAATATCTGGATCCCTCCAGGAAAGATGTGTTGTCCTCAGGAATTTGGGGTTGGCCTGACCTGGGAGCAGAGCCCAGCAAAGGTGCTGGTCTGGGGCAGCTCGTGGCTGTGCCACCCAGAGATGCAAAGGGAAATGGGGTCGGGAAGAGGCCCCAAGGACTCGTGGGGACTGCACTGAGGAACTACAAAGGATCAGGAAGCTGAAAGGTCAGCCCGGTGTCCAGGAAAGAGGCTGGTGGGTTGTGCCGTCCAGGTAAACAGAGGGAGGTGAATGGAGGACCAGGCCTGGAGTGTTCCGGTGGACCTCGAGAAGGAACTGGGTCCCTCTGGATACAAGGGGTCAGGAAGCAGTGGTGGCCCTGGGCCGAGAGGTCAGCCCTGGCATCCAGGAAAGAGGGTAGCAGACTGTGCAGCCCGGTGAAGCAGCAAAGTTTCATTATTTTAAGGAAAGTTTTATTTTTTTAATTAAATTTATTCTTTGACAATTTGTATGTTTATAATGCGTACTAATTGCACTCATTCCCCACCCTTCTGACCTCGTCACCTCCTTCCTGTTTGCACCTGTCTTGCTTTCCTGTCATTCTGTTTTTCTTTTGGGCTGTGTAAGTATCCAGTGGTTCATAGTGAACTCTTCACTGAAGACAATGACCCTTCTCTCCTCCCAGCATTCTTTAACAGACTGTAGCTCCCCAGGGAGAGATAGGGACCCATGAGCCTTTATCCCACCTGCAACTAAATGTGGACAAGTCTAGTCTTGAAGAGACTAGCGCAGAGCTCACTCTGTTTTACAGTATTCCCCAGTCCTTGGAAAACGGTGATATAGATGTCCCATGTAGGATTGAGCAGCCAAGAGCCCAGGAGCATCTGTAGGCACTACCATTATGTACGGGACTTTTTCTGGTCAAAGATGAGAGCACTTGTTCTTGGGCCACCACTTCAAATTTGCTTCCCCTAAAAATTTTTTGAAACATGATTGATTACTATGTACCGTACACATTTATTTAAATGTGATAGTAAAGTAAATGACTTCAAACTTTTTCGTGCCTTTTTTTTTTTTTTTTTTTTTAAATACAGATCCTCGCTGGGCTTGGTGGCATACCACATGCCTTTAGTTTCAGCACTTGGGAGGCAGAGGCAGGTGGATCGTTGTGAGTTCAGGGCCATCCTGGTCTACATAGTGAGTTCAGGTCAGCTGGGACTACAGGGGGGAGACCCTGTCTCAAAAAGACAAAAAAAAAATTGATACAGAGCCTCACTGTGTAGCACTGGGTGGCCTGGAGATCACTATGTAGACCAGACTGTCCTAGAACTCACAGAGATCCACTACTTCTGCCTCCTGAGTGCTGGGATTAAAGGCATGTGCCACCACACCTGGCTCATAATACTTTTAATCTAATAATTTTAAAATTTTATTTAATTTTTATTATAATCAAATGAGGTGGGAGAATATATTGTAACTGTAAATTTAAACATTTTCAGTGCTTAACTCATATTTGTGGTTTTTGGTTTTGTACACTGTGCCCCCTCATTTCTACTTTGTGAATCACGTTTCCTTTTTGCTTCAGTTACAAGCCAGTGGACCATAAGCTTATTTGGCTGCCATTACGAGAGGCATTTGAAGAATTGTTTGTCCAGACGTTTTCCAAGAAACAGAATTTTACCTTTTTGGGACACATTCAGACCTGCTACCGGCAGAAACGGTGGCAGGATCTCCTCAAACTAATGCAGCATGTGCACAAGTCTGCTGTTACCAAGGCAGGAAAGGAGAGCCAAATGGGTAAGCATATGCCAAAACATGAGGCTGGGGCTCAGTCACAGAGCTGAGGGGAGTGGGGGGAACTCCTGAACGGCCTAGGTCTTAGGGTAAAGGGGAATACTTTTGAAGTGTAGCTGCTCTCATGCTTATAAACATCATTCCCTACAGTTCAAATACCTTAGTAACCCTAAGTACAAGCATTGCTTAATAATCAGAATGCCGTATTTCTCAGAAAGAGCTAGTTTTAGAAGTAAAGGCGCTTTTGGTAGCTTAGTTGTCTTCTCTGCCTCCTCATCTATGAAATGGCAACAAAAGTAACTACTTCATGGGGTTCTTTTAAGGGGAAAATTAAAGAGTATGTATACATGTACTTTATTTTGGCTTGTGGTTTGAGATAAATTTGAATCCATCATGGGAAGAACTGGCAGTCCCTTCAGTGACAGTAGGAGAATGAGATGGCACTTGTTCACATCTAGGTGGACCACAGATCAGATTTGCCGGTTGTCCGTTCTCTCTTTCCACTATGTAGGTTCTGAGGCTTGAACTCAGTTTGTCAGGGTTGGCAGCAAGTGCCTTTTCTCGTTGTGCCGTCTGCCTGGCCCTAATGAACAGCAGGAACTAGGTGCCAGATTATAATTTTCAGAGGTCTGCCTTGGGTGACCTGTTTCTGTCATCTAGTTCTTATATCCTAAGGTTTTCCATAGCTTTCTGGAAGAGTGCCATTTAAAGGGCTGGAGAGATTGCTCAGTGGTTGAGAGCACATACTGCTAGGGCAAAAGACCTGAGTTTGGTTTGCAGAACCCATTTTGGATGATTCACAACCAGCTAAAACTCCAACCCCAGGAGAATCTTGACGCCTGTGGTCTCCATGGGCACCCATAGTCACATACAATTAAGAATAATAAAAGGTTTTGTTTGTTTGTTTGTGACAGATGTAACCCCATCTGGTCAGGAGCTCACTGTGTATACCAGGCTAGCCTTGAACTCACAGAGATTTGCCTGCCTCTGCCTCCCGAGTACTGGGATTAAAGATGTGTACCACCATGCCTGGCACAATAAAAGTTGTTTTTAAAAAATTGCCACTAAAGGGGCTGGAAACATGGCTCAGTGATTAAGAGCACTGGCTGCTCTTGCGGAGGAGCCGGGTTCAATTCCCAGCACCAACATGGGGGCTAGGGACCCTCTATAACTGTAGTTCTAGGGAACCCAATGCCTTCTTCGTTTCATTTCCGTGGGCATTGCACAACACAGATATATTTACACACATTCAGGCAATACACTCATAAATACAAAATAAAAATAATAAAATATTAAAAAAAAAATTGCCACTAGAAGGGGCGGAAACAGTGACTCAGCAGTTAATGTAGGTTGCTCTTGCAGGGGACTTAGGGTTTGATTCCCAGCACCAACATGGTGGCTAATAGCCATCCTTAACTCCAGTTCCAGGGTATCCTACACCCTCTTCTGACTTCCATGCGCATTGCCTACATGGGTGCACTTATATACATGAAAGCAAAATACTCATAAATCTTTTAAAAAGTGGCACTAGATAAGAAATAAGTATTCAGAGCATGAACTTTTGGGGGACATTTCAGACTCTGACCATAGCAAATCTATCGTAATGCAAAATGTGAGATGGTTACTGTTTTTATTCTTTCCTAGGGCTACTGCTGAAGGAAAAATGGGAAGCCTTTGGCCTTAGACTCAGCCATGCCCAAGAACAGATGAAAATGACTGAAAATACCCTATTGTTTGCATTTGTAGAGGTATTTTGTTAGTTGAGTTAATGGGTGTTGATTTGAATGCAAGTCTGTGGAGGGTTATTCTTTTGTATTCTCTGTGTTGTGCCTGCTTTTTAAGACAAAAAGTATTTAATGAAAAAATCAGAAGGTTGTAAGAAATATCTTTTATGGTGTTTAAGGTTTTAATGAACAAAAGAAATGTTTTTCAAGGTGTATTGAGGATAGTGTTATTCCACATGAGTTTGTGTGTGCATTGGGTGGAGTGCATTCTGATGGGAAAAGCTTGAGCATGAGACTAAACCCCATACAACTGCTACTTGTGTGTGTGTGAGGGTCTGTATGTGAGAGACCAGGTGATTCCTTTAGTGCCTAGTTTAGATTCCAGTGCACGATCATCTCTCCTATTTACTACATGGACATATGTATATATTGATGAAATTAAGCACGAGTGATTGAGAGCTGGTGGAATTCATTTTGATATTCCTTGATATACATTGTGATAGGCTGTATATTACAGCTGCTGCACTTTTAACATTTGGAAATTTATCTGTCCTTGGTATATTTTTATTTTGGGGTGTTCTTAATCGCTAATATGGTGCTTTGCAACATCTGAATATGTTAACATTTACTTGATTATCCTTGTAACAAGAGTATCTTTTTTTGTTTTGATTTTTTTGTTTGCTTTTAAGACAGGATCTCCCTGTAGCCCCAGCTGGCCTAGAACTTTCTATGTAGACCAGACTGGCCTCGATCTCATTGAGATCCACCTGCCTTAAAGGCAGGTGCCACCATACCTAAGAGATTTTTTTTTTTTAATTTTATTTTATGTGTATAAGTGTATTGCCTGCATGTTTGTATGTGCACCCATGTCATTCTGTGCCCACAGAGGACAGAATAGGGTGTCAGATCCCTCGTAACTGGAGTTTGTACAGTTGTTAGCTGCCATGTGATTGTTGGGAATCGAACCTGCGTCTTTTGCAAGAACAGCCAATGCTCTTAACCCCTGAGCCATGTCTCCAGCTGAGGATCTTTTCAAAATTGCATCTTATATTGTAGTCTTAAAGATACTTTTGACCATTTTGCACGTTTATGGAGTTCATTTGGCCTTAATGCTACAGGCTCACCTGGAAGTCATTCATCAGTTAAAATTTAGGTTCATCAAGCAGGAGAAATTTGTCATTGCGCATCATTTCTAATCTTATTTGTATAACTGCTGTTCATAAGTATACCTTTATTCGAAATGTAGTTTGAATATTTTATTTTCTAGGGTACATTAGCTCAGGCTATAAAGAAAGGAGAATGGATCTTATTGGATGAGATTAACCTCGCTGCTGCTGAAACACTGGAATGTCTGAGTGGTTTGCTTGAAGGATCTTCTGGCTCTTTGGTGTTGCTTGATCGAGGAGACATAGGTAGCTAGCATTCGATTCCTTTGGGGTATGACTTAGTTCTAAAATAATGAGATTTTTAGATTGTATAGGTCTTTGTACTTGTTACTTTTCTGTTGCTGTGATAAAACATCATGACCAGATAATTACTAGAAGGTAGCTCCTATGTTCCATCCTGGAGAGGAGGAATAGCAGAGATGGCTGGAACAGAAACCTAAGTGATAATGTCTTCAAGCAGGAGTAGGAAGCAGAGAGAGACAGCCTGGAAGTGAGCAAGTTGTATATATCACTGGAAGAGTGAAAATTGAGAAGAATGCTTGCCGTTGATTCTTCCAAGAATGCTTGCATGAGATATTTTAGATAACAGGGATCAGAGGACAAGATTGCCTGATAAGGGTAGATGAAGCTAAGCTTATAGTTCTCCAGTTGATGCTGGAGAAATGATTTTGAATAAAAGTATGGATGAGAGCTGGCTCATAAGCACAGTTCTAGGACACATGGAGGACAGGGTGCTCTCTGAGTGTGGGTCCACTCTTTAAAGTTAAGAGTCAGGCTGTTTATTCAGGTATAACTAATGTGGCTTACTAATACCATAAATACACACCTGGATCAGTGCATAAAGATAATTAAAAGGGAACAAACCTTGAAAAGACTGGAATGGCAGCATATGGTTAACTTTTCTATATACATATGAAAAGTGATTTCTGTGGTTTCAGAAAAGGCAAGTATGAGTGGAACAGCACCAATGTGACTGTGCCTGGGGTTTTATAAATTTAAGTCTTCCTTTGGGGTCCTGTGGCAGATCACTTGATTATTAACAAGTTGCTGAAAATTTTTGATTTTTTTTTTTCGTTGTTGTTGTTGAACAGAACCATTGGTTCGTCATCCTGACTTCCGTTTATTTGCATGCATGAATCCAGCTACTGATGTGGGCAAAAGAAATCTCCCGCCAGGAATAAGAAACAGGTAAGAGTTTTCATGTTATCTTCTTTTATTCATTACTAATAAATATCAACATACCTGGATTTCAAAACAGTGTTTGAAAGTTCTTGATCTCTGATACAAAAATCCTTGTTTCCTTTTTATACATTCCTTTATATAAGAAACACGGGAGAAGCCTTCTGTTGTTTATTATTTTTGCTGGTACAGGGGACTGAGCCTGTCTCCAGACCTTTTGATGGTTAGTATAATACTTAAAACCTCATGGGTTTTAAGCACGAAAACCCCTGTACTTCTCGTTACCTCTTAGTCATTAGGGGAATTTCATGTATAGCATATAATACTCTAAGTGCATTTTGGGAATACAGGGCTAAAATGTTGAATTTGGGTGTTTTATATATGTAACATCTGGAAAAATGAGATTTATTATTAGTAATATTTTGTGTCATTTGACGTTTGAAAATAGTAATTAAGTATGTTAGGTGCAAGTGAGATGCCTCAGAGGCAAAAGTGCTTGCTGCTGAGCCTGACAACCTGACTTCAATTTCTGGAACCTTCATGGTGGAAGGAGAAAACTGACTTCTAGGTTGTTTGAGCTCCACACAAAAGTGTTACATGCTTTCCCACATGTCATGCATACAAACACACACAAACACATGCACACATACACAGAACAAATAAAGGTAATTTTAAAACTCCTAGCTCTATTGTCTTCATTATAAAAGTAATAAAAGTACCATGGACAAATTTTAGAAAAAGTATAAATTTTCTTTTGCTCTATCATTTTAGCCATGATTTGAATGGCTTATTTTTATAAAGGTTTATTTTTTTAATTATTTGTGTATATGTGCAGGTCCCTGTCCACAAGAGGGTGTCAGATCCTTTGGAGTTGGAGTTTCAGGCAGTTGTGAGCTGTACAGTGTGGGTGTTGGGAACCAAACTTGAGTCTTTTCTACAGGATCATCACATGTTCTTTAATTACTAAACCATTTCTCCAGACCCCAGGGTCCTATTTATTGGACATAATTTTTGCTACATTTAGTTATTATTACACCTTCTGAAAATGAGGATAAATATGCCCTAGTTTTATAATTGTTCCTTTGTACAAGGATTACAGGAAGATTTATTATGTAGAACAAGCAATAGTGGAGATAGGGAGATGGCTCAGTTGTTAAAATGCCAGCTGTACAAGCATGTGGACCAGAGTTCAGAGCCCTAAAACCACATAAATGCTTAGTGGGGTGAGATGGGCCTGGCAAGCCTCCTCTAATTCCAGCCCTTGTATGGTAGAAATTGGCTTTCCCCTACTGAATTCTGGACAGCTAGAATAGGTGAATGAGTAAGCTCTGGGTTCACTTGAGAGGACCTGCCTCAATATATGTATATAAGGTGGAAAGTGATTTACCATTGTCAACCTTTGGCTTCCTCATAATGCACACACTCACATATGAGCATGAATACACACATGCATGGATACCACACACACTTGAGGAAAAAAAGGAGTAATGGTGGAATATTTCTTTTTATTTCATTATGGTCAGTTTGTAGCTCAAGTAAAGGATGTTTTCCATTAAATGCAGTTAATCTGAGCTTATGTAACTTAGTATATTTTTCTGTTAAATAAGTTTATTAATTTCTTTAAAAGTCATTATCTAATAATGTTCTTATAGGTTCACAGAACTTTACGTAGAAGAATTGGAAAGTAAAGAAGACTTACAAATTCTTATTGTGGATTATCTCAAAGGATTGAGTGTGAATAAGAACACTGTGCAGGGAATCATAAAGTAGGTTCTCTTTCGCTTGTCTTGGTAATACTCTTTTTCTGAACATAAAATTCCATTTCATGCATACACCTACATTTATTTTCCTTTTCTTTTTTGCTTCTAAGTGAATAAAACTGGTGGAAGATTTTGCTTTAAAGCTGGAACTTTGTATGAATTCTCTTCACATCTTCCTAAAGAAACTACTTATAAAGCTAACTACTCCTTCCTATGAAAATAACGTAAACAGGTGTTAATGCTCTTGATTGCCTCTGTTCATATCTTAGATTTTTGAAAGCCTGGATAAGATGCAAATGTGGCTTGTCTTGATTTGTCTCTATAACTCTTTTTCACTTAGAATTTGAGGACTTGCTAGGAGTAAGTTGGATACACTAGATTGTATTATGGTTAGAATTAACAGAGACTTGCACAAGTAAGTTATGGAATGGTAGTATGTCTTGATGCTTCGAGTCTCTTTCTCATGTTTTGTAGGCCATATAGGAAGACCATAGTGTTTTGGGCTGGCAACCTGAGGTCTAGTATTGACTCAGGAAGCTAGAAGCTAATTTTTGTTATTCTGGGCAATTCTCTTTCCTCCTGAAGGAAATATAATATGGGAAGGGATTGAGATGGAAAATATTAGATACTACTTTGCATTTTGTTGTATGTTTGTTTTTTCATTTATTGCTGCTTGCTATCAAACCTAGGACCTTGTGCTAAGCAGGCTGTTTGCCACTGAAGTCTGTCCCTATTCTTACTGTTGTTTTTTAAGTCATGGCCTCACTCTGTTCCCTGACTGGCTTGGAACTTGCTATGTAGACCAGGCTGGCCTTGAAGTCACAGAAATCTGCTTGCTTCAGTCTCCCAAGTGTTAGGGTCAAAGGCGTGAGCTACCATGCCCAGTTACTGTCTGTGTTCTTTTTACACAATTATTTTTTATTTTAGTGTTTCTCAATACTAAGGAAATACTGAAAATATGAAAAATTCTGAGCCAGTTGTAGTGGCATATGCCTGTAATCCCAGCTGATGCAGGAGGATTGCTCTGAGTTCAAGACCAGTCTGAGCTACAGAGTGAGACCCTGTCTGAAAACAAAAACTGACAACAAAGAAAAAGAAAACTTCTAATTCTTTTTTTTTTTTTTTTTTTAATTTCTAATTCTTTTTAAGGAGCTTTTTGTAGGTGAAGGCAACTAATAAATGAGGAATTGTAGTAATTAAGGAAAAAACCATAAATAGGATGTTACAAAATGGAGAGCTGGAGTCATTTATAAATGTATTAGTCACAGAGGCATTTATTTAAAGAATGACTATGTTCTTTTTTTTTTTTTTTTTAATGTCTTTTCTGAGACAGGGTCTCCCTTCCTATCGAGGCCAGGCTGACTTCCATTTTATAGAGATCTGCCTGCCTTTCCCTCCCCAGTGCTGGCATTAAAGACTTGCACCACCGTGGCTGGCTCAAGAATGAATATCTTGCAAATATCTAACTAAATTCCATTTGGGCAAAAACTTGGATTTTATCTGTGGTGCATATTTTGTTTCATTTGAGCATGTAATTGGCATGCATCGTAAAAATTTGAAGTGTGAAGTTTATGGTTTCCACTTTCCATCTTGAAAAATCAATAGTGATAATACATACCAGTGGTCATCATGTCTTTCTGCTTTGTAAGAGTTTGTAATTATCAAAGATACCTATGTTAACTCTTTGAAAACACCATGAATTCTGTTGTCTGTGCATTTAAACAAATTTTAAATATTTTTTATGTATATGAGTGTTTTGCCTTCATGTTATGTAAGTGTACTGTGTACATGCATGCAGTGTCTACAGAAGCCAGAAGAGGGTGTTGGATCCCCTGGAACTGAAGTTCTGGGTGGTGGTTAGCTGCCATGCAATTGCTGGGAACCAAACTCGGGTCCTTTATAAGGGCAGCCAGTGCTAATCACACTGAGTCATCACTCTAGTCACCTTCTCTGTGTTTGTCACTATTATATGATATACAGAGACTTCATTTGCCCCTCAAGTTAGAGCTAACTCTGGAGCACTGCATTTGGAATCAGAATTTTTTATGAAGACTCTCTTCTTACTCTACTTATATACAAGTTTTTCATTTACCTTCATTGTAATCTTTTACACTTGGAATAGGACTGTGCATTTTGTGATTTCCCAAAGTTACTCATTATTTTATTTTGAAAGATAAATGTATTTGAAAAAATAGATTTATAAAATGAAATGTTTTAATGCGTGTTCTAGGAAATGGTATGTAAGCTTGACCAATTTTTATAAAAATTGCCTTTGGAACTTCTGTAGAGAAGTGGGAACAACTACAAATTAATTAGTATTATATTTAGTAAATTGCCTGAACTTCATCCTCTTTGTAGCTTCTACACTGCTTTGCGGAAAGAGTCTGGGACCAAATTGGTGGATGGGACCGGCCACAGACCTCACTATAGTCTTCGGACCCTCTGCAGGGCCTTGCGATTTGCAGCATCCAATCCATGTAGCAACATCCAGCGCTCACTCTATGAGGTCCTTTTTGGTTTGGTTTGATTTTTTTGGGGGGCGGGGGTGTTTTTTGTTTTTCGTTTTTTTTTCAGACAGGGTCTTATGTATAGCTCTGGTTAGCCTGGAACTTGCTGAGTAGACCAAGCTGGCCTGGAACTCACAGAGATCTGCTTGCTTCTGCCTCCCACTTGCTGGAATTAAAGGCAGGTGCTACCACCAGGTAGCTTATGAGGTCTTTCTAATGATGTTTGACTGAGGTGCTGGGTAGATGGGAGGGAAATAGGGAAGCATATGCTATATTTGATAGTGCTTCTCAGTCAGACTTTCCTAAAACACTTAATACCACAGCTGCCCTTCCCTTTTCTCTACCTCCTTATCACATTAGAGTACTGTTCTGGAAAGTACCAGTCCCAGAAAGTTCAATTTTATTCCTGAAATAAGCTGGGCTCTTATCATAGCAGGACAGTTTGTATTATCCATATTTGTGTTTTCTCTCTAGGGCTTTTGTTTGGGTTTCTTAACACAGCTTGACAGGGCATCTCACCCAGTAGTTCAGAAGCTCATTTGTCAACACATTGTCTCTGGCAATGTCAAAAGTCTGCTGAAACAGGTATGTTCTTTGACTTTTGACTGTTGAATATAAAGGAAAGGCAAATTTTTATGTTTGAAGACTTCTAACTATAGAAATTATCTTTGCAAAAAAAATTTTAAGAAATTTTCATTGATTTTACTCTAGAGATTTAGATTCTAGATAGCCCAATCCAGTCAAAATATAATTATATATTTTATTTTATTATATATTCAAAGCCTAGTGTGTGCCTGATTTGTTGAGATAAATTGTAATGTGTTATTTCATGTAAGTGAGGCCATTGGGTAAAGATACTATTATGTTGCTTTCATTTTGAGTTAGGGAGCATTTGGGATCAAGCTCAGAGCTTCATGCATGGTAGACAAGTACTCATCTTTGAGGGTCACTGTACCCTCAGCTGCAGCTTTCCTTAAAACAAAAACTAATTAATTGAGTTTGAGTGTGAGCGTGTGCACTTGCATGCCACAGCATGCATACAGAGATAGACGACAACTTTCAGGGGTCAGTTCTCACTTTCCACTGACCTGAGGCAGGATTTCTCTTGTTTCTGTTGCTGTGTTGAGTAATCCAGACTAGGAGTTTCTGACTGAGTCTCTTGCCTCTACTTCCCTTGGACTTAGCACTTGGACTGCTAAGGTTATGGATGTGTACCACTGTATCTGTTTTTTTACTCAGGTTCCAATGATAGAACTTAGGTTTTCCAGGTTATATGACTGATGCCTTCACCTGCTAAGTAATCACCTCAGCCTGAGGTTCTGTTTTTAGCCCTTTTTTTTTTTTTTTTTTTTTTTTTTTTTTTTTTTTTGGCTTTTGGGGGGGGGGGGGAAAAATTTTTTTTATAGAAAACCCCTTTTAGAAAAAATAGAAACTTAAAAAACAATATTATAG